GGCAATCCATCTACGTCCTGAGGACCTCACTGCCACCGTCCAAGCGTGCTTGGCCCCGGCAGATGAACCTCAGGATTAAAGGGTGGGCTCAGTTCCGCGCACACTGTGTCTCACCTAAAAAATCCAATGCGCAGGCTGGAAGGTGGAAAGACCTTCCCCGGTTCTTCGTTCGCGAAGAGACTGGCCATACATACATACATGATTCAGAAGTGAAACAAAGACATGATGCTGCTGGGCAGTTTTTGCCATGCAGGTACTTACATATTCTGCTCTTTCATTAAGGATGTCAAAGAAAATTCCAAATAACCACCTGAAATGGTAACAATGGATCCAGAAAGATCTCTTGAATTAAGTCACGATGGAATGAGGCAGGGAGGAAGAATATATTCTTCCTATTTTCCCCATCCTATACTTTTCTCCTTGGGAAAAAGCAGACAATAGGAACAAAATTTTCTACTCGGATCACTATCTGCTCAATTGAAATATGGATTAGAGATATGAATGAGTGACCTATCTACATAAAACATCTCAAGAGTGTATGGATTAGGCTATACAAACAGCACATCTGAATCCAAGCTACATTTTTCTAATCAATAATTAATATTTACTGTCCAAAACAGCTGGAAATAGTGTTAGATATATTATTCTTCCAATAATGCTTTATTATACTATCACTTCTGAACTGAAATTGTGAAAATGCTCTATTTAAAAAAGTATAGGTATCTGGAAGGAAATTAACACTTAAGAGATTCATTCTATTCCTGTGAATCTGAAACTCTGAAGAAATTTGAATCTACAAATTCATTCTACATTTCACACTTATTCTTCCACATTTTGAAACGAGAAAGGTTGGCAGGGGGGAACTATGTTCTTTTTCTGATTTTCTATTTCTGGTCATTCAGGTATTGCTTGTCAGTTAGGTCTACAGAGTTTCAAAATGGGTTATAATTTCTATCTGTGTATGGGTTATGATTTCTATCTGTACTGTTGTTCTTGTATTTTATTCCTCCTTCAAAACAGGTGCATCTTCTGCTCACCATGTCATGCATTTGTCTCTTGGGAGAGTGGGTGGTTCTCACAAATACAAAAACTGCTAAGCTCTGTAAGACAGAAAGAAATTCAACATTAAAAAAAAAAAAATCCAGTAGCCGAAGTGCAGTAAAATGTAATGCTGCACTCAGATAAAATAACCTCCTTTCTTCTCCTGACACTTCTGTTGAGTACATGACAACGTCTGTACATTCCCCCTCAAGTTGCAACAACAGTATTTCCCAAACCTGGTTGAACATCTTAGAAAGGAAGGCAACTTCTAAACCCCCAGTATTCATTTCATTAGATTTAAGTCTGATATTAAATTATCAATTTAAAAAAGAACTCAAAATTTGTAGCAGCTAATTTTAATTCCCCTACAACTGTCATGGCCTAAAAAGAAGGTTTAGCAACCTGAAACAAACCTACACACAAAGGGATCTCGTGACATAGGAGCATGACTAGTTATGTATTCAAAAGTCAAATACAAATAAAATGAAAAAAGACTCATTTTTGTACAAGCTGGCATTTCATCTATAAAAGACATCTGTCACTTACATATGGCACAATCCTCAGCATAATAGGGAGAGCATTATTAAGAGCTGTAGAGCAAATATGAAGCTCAAAGATAGGTCAGAAAGGGACAGGGACTTTAAGGGGACTTCATCAACACCAATTCTCTGCATAATCTGCAAAATGCAGGCTCCAAAAAGGTTTCCTAGAACAGCGCAAAAAAAAAACCCAAACAGTGCATCCATCAAAAATTGTTTCACACTGTCTTCAGTTGGGGGTCAACCAAAATACTGTAATTATTATCATCTAGTTGTGTGTTTTCTCCTCATGTTCACAGAAGCACTTGACTCCTCCTTGAGAAAAAACTGGTTTTAAAAGCTGTGGTAGTCAGACCTACAATGGACAAGTGAGCACTGGCACTACCCCCTTTGCTACAAGGGCAACCAGCAGGTTTGAAACATCTTCAGTACCCAACAAAGACCAGATTTTCAGGAAAGCTCAGGTGTTTATTCAAGCGTCATTAAGTCTGTGCCCTGGCTAATCAAATGTAAGAAAAAGAGTGGAAAAAAAAAAAAAAGAAAAAAAGAGGCCCTAACTCCCTCTATTCTGTAACATTTGCTTTAGGATTTGCCTTAAAGTCAAAACCTCATGAAACACTTTTCAACTCCTAGGCTTATATACCACTGTGACAAGAGCTCTTCAAGACCCTCCCCGGTATGTTTTGCTCTCTGCATCACCACTCCCATCTCATTGTATTCCCACCCATATGCAGAATTCACCAGCCCTTTGCCTTCCCCCTCAGCACTTAAATGAGTGAATCTTCCAAAGGATTCAACACCTTTGTAGCTGTGGCCTTCTGCACTTCTTGGTAAGACTTCTAAAGCAAACAAAAGGAAAAAAAAAAAAAGAGATTTCTTACTTCCCCCTTCTTTTGCTGTCTTGCAGCCCATGGGATCAGAGAGGACGGAGATGCGCAAACGGCAGATGTCTACAACCCAGGACACCCCAGGTGCTGCACAGGCTCAGCTCAGCACAGGAAATCGAGGGTCCAATGCCTGCTGCTTTTGTTGGTGCTGTTGCTGCAGCTGTTCATGGTAACCCCTCTCCTTAAAACCTCTGGGGAACAGAATTGCAGGGAAGGAACACATAGCTAGTATATAGGACAACAGAAGCCAAATGAAACACCTGTGTAATTCTGCAAATCTGGGACTGTGCACAACCTTCTACTTCAGTCTACTCTTTCTTTGCCCTGCCATTGAAATTACAGACTTTTAAGAAAATATTTGCCAATATTTGTTGCCAATACTGTGCAATGGAAGGTGTGTTTTGTGCAGGACCAGTTCTCCTCAGCATTGAGATTCACCAAGGCTTCCACTAAAAACTGAAAGCAATACTAGAACGTATCACAGTTTTAGATTTAGGACTCAACACTGAGGGTGTTAAATGGAGATAGTGGACGGTGGAAGAATTTGTAGGTCAGAAAATGAATAACCAGGTGCCCAGCACTGTTCTTTTCCCCCCTGAAGGCAACTGGATCTGTTGTCATTAATTAGTGCTGCCAACTCATGGCACCTGCAACTCATATGAAGATAATCCTTGGAGTCAGAGACCTTAAACATTGTGTGTACTTGCTGAAAATGAGCAGTAAAGCAGAAATAATTCTGAAGAACTCCCATTACAGGGTGTTAAGGAAGAAAATCTATCAGGGAATCAAAGCAAAAAAAGGAGAAGTAATCACTTGATTCCTTAAATTAATGATGTGTTCACCTTCACTTTCTCACCACCTCCTCTAGATCCAAGTGATTTCATTCAAAACTGAAGTAAATCTTCCCATACTGTATCTGTATCTGCTTAATGGGTGAGACCAGAACTTGCATTGAAATAAAGAGTCTTAAACAGCCATAGGAGTTCAACTAAAACACTGACAGCAAGCAGAGTGCATCTTATAAACTCACCATCCACCACTCAACCACTTCAGAGCAAGCAAACCTGGCACTGAGGTGAAGAAGTCATAAATAGACTTAGAGCCCACGCTAGTAATCTATTCCACCAATTTTCCAATAGAACCTCGTGGCAAATGCTTTGGAGAATACCATTAGGTATTAGGCAAGGGAAGAGCAGGCTGATTGTTTTGGTACTCAGCTCAGCAGAAGCCAAGACAATGTAAACAATGAACAGTTTGAAGAATAAAAGGCTGCTTGGAGGGGTTTTTTACAAAATGCCCAGTACTCTGGCTTTGACACTAAAAAGCTTTTCAGCAGATGCTTAGGAGGTAAACTAAGGTAGAGTTCAAAAAGATATTAAGTACTGTGCCTGTGCAGGATCAGAGTTTGCTACCTTGAAGAATGACATCTATGTTAAAGCATCTCATACAAATTCCAGTGCCATCTCATCAGCTGTCCAGAGCAATTGCAAGTGGCTCAGTCCAGAGCCTCATTACACAAACATGTTTTTCCATAAAAGGAAAACATAATACACGTTTATCTAAGTCAGAGTACATAAAATCTGCATTTTACCTTTAAATTGTTGATAAAGTGCTTTTTTGACATTTTACCTGATATTTTCCAGAATGCTCATTTTCTGTGCACGTCACTATTCAAACAATTCAAAGAAAGCAATTTACTCTAGGGTGTGTGAAAGTACCCAAATTTCATGATGCTTTAAACTCCTATTTGCATTTCAGAATCATCTGGGAAACCAATACAGGCTCTGAAACAGAGCAGCTTGTTTTAGCTTTAAAATAATTCCCGATTCATTTTTTTTTGAGAACAATTGTTTTCTAGTAGCAAGAAATGCAAAACAAACCGTAATTAAGCTATTTATATTCCCTATTCATAGACCCCTTTCCTCAAAATAGCCCATGCACTTGGAACAGAAAAATTATGAATAAAAATAAAAATAACAGTCTAGATGAGTCATGCAGCTGAACATCCATTATTCAGCATACTCTTAATAGTAGATTTAGAATGAAGTTAAATGAGCTTCTCAGCTGGATGCTTAGAGACTGTGTTCATTCCTACAGCCAAAACTCAAGCCTCCAGCCTGTTACTCTTCCAGATCCTGAGAGGATGTAGTGTTGCACTAGTCTCTTTATTGTTTACATTTCTAGGGAAGGAACCTGCCCGTAAGTCATTTTCTGAGACATGTTGTGTTCTCTTAGGGAAGCTTTTGCTATTTCTTTTGTCTTTTTCCCCTTTTATGCATTATCCTATGAAGACTGTAATCCTTTCTGTTGGATCTGTTGGTTCCCCCCTCAATCCAAAAATAGCTCCGACAAGAATATTGCTGCTTGTCTGTGTGTGAGGAATACATAATGTATCACTTTACATATACAAAAAAGGCCAGTAAAAAGGGTAGTAAATGCCTGAGATCTACATAACCCAAAAGAATAGAGAACTAGGTTTACTACTTACTTTTTTCTAGAAAGGTAAATTCAAATAGTTCATTGGTTTGAATGTATGGTTCAGATGTTGCAAAAAAAAAAATCTGTTCACAATATCTGCTCTCCAATAGGAAACCTTTCCTACCTCTTCAGTGCATGGACTGCCCTGGCAAAGAAAAAAGCAGGTCTCTGCAAATTATGGACTAAGAGCAGGCAAAGCAGGAGAACGAGATACTCAGTAAAATAGTAAGGCTGCAAAGAAGACTTAGCCAAGAGTTTAGAAGGCAGAAAAATTAACTGGTTTAACAAAAAATCTCATTAGAAATAAATAAGACTCTTAAGGATTAAGGTAACAAAACTTAAAACATGAGCATGGATGAAAGGTAAGATACAAATGAAGAAATTAAGTTTGATATTTATCAAATTGTAACAACTGTTGCTTTATTTCAGCTGGAGGACACATTTCATATAAATTACAGGTTATATAATTCACTGGGACCTTTTCTTCTTGACATATTTTAAGCAGTTTTACAGATTATATGAATGTGTGTGTCTATGCACATGTATTTCTTACTAAGTTATGAAGACCTAAATATACTGGAATGTAGTCTCCATTCCCTAAAAAGGAATTCCCTAAAAACAAAATGTATTTTGTCAAATCCAGTTTCAAATGAAAAAGAATCATCTACAACTACAAAGCAAAACTTTTTTTTTTTTTTTTTTTTTTTTTTTTTTAGTAATGCTACAAACAAGTGCTTCCTATCAGACATACTCAAAACAACATTCAGCAATGATGGATTCACTCTTCGTGCTCCAGGCCTCACATTTTGAAGCACATACTAGAACTTTCTTAAAGCTGCAATCAATTACCACACAATCTGGCTGCATCTGTATCTTAACTCTGAAAGATGTTTACCTTTCCAACATCACACATAGAAGTCTCTAGCTTAGTTAAAACTTGTCTCCAGCTTCTGAACTCTGGCTTTTATAGCCATAGGGGCACAATGAGGACCAAGAATCTGATTTGGAGTGGTAATACCATGATCACATATCCATAGAATACCTCTAGTTGTAAGGGACCCATAAGGATCATCAGAAAGCTAGATATATGATCCCTCTGTAGAAAGTCTTTGTGATACAATATCAAACAGCATTCACCTACACTCAGGTTTGCCAGGTTTATACAACTGTAAAATTAAGGTCAGAGCTTAACTATGGCTAATGTGGCTGTCATTAGCTACTGTCCTTTTAGGTTTTTTTTTTTTTAATATCTGTGTTCAGAATTTTTCTCTACAAACTTGACTAAAATTTTGTTTGCTACCTTGCAGCCTTACTGTTAGAAATCAAGAAGAAGAGAGAGCAAGAACAACATCTCATGAACTACAAGCAGAGGGTATTCCAAACTGTGAGGAAAGGTATGGTCTTTATTAAGTGTTCTGTCAAGCTAAAATTAAACAAATCCAACAAACCATACTACGTAATTTCAGTAAATAAGCTGAAATACAAAAATACCTATTATCTACTTGTCATCTGTTTTTTACCTTCAAAGGTCTGATCTATAATATTTTACCTTGTTTATATGCAGGATGTAACGACATGTAACTACTCTTATAACACGACAGACCAAAGCCAACCCTTTTTTTCTGAAATAATGTGAAAACACATCCTGTTCCCACCCAGCAACTATGTAATGAGGTTAACTGGCAGTGCTCAGCCTTACAAACACAATAGAATAAAAAGGAGCTCAGATCCTCCCAAGAGTTAGGCAACAGTCTCTTCAGAATTGCTCAAACAGGTAAAATCACCTGCAAAATGGTAATATACAGCCATTACCTTTCATAGTGTTTAAATCATTGCTTCTTTATACAGATTTTCATTCAATTTTTAACAATTTTTAACAACAACAAGGATTATTAGGTACAGAAAAAAATGCGTAGCTGTTGCAGAGGTACTTCTTTGTTGCAATTACTTTAAGAAGTAAACTGCAATTTATGCATCAAAGCGCTGGGAATCATCTGCATCAGAGCTTTTGATAAGCTCACTTTCAAAAAACATCTTATAAATGTATTTACTAGAGTTGCACTTGGGTAGTTCCAGTGAGGAATCAGAGCTCCATGAACCTTATGATTTTGTTCCATCGTGATGGCAGACACCGCCTCCCAGCTGCAAATAGCTAGAGTAACAATCATTTATTTCTCTCTTCTTGTGCTCTTCTTCCTCCTCAAGCCCTGCTCCTACTCTCGAAGAAGTAAATGCCTGGGCTCAGTCATTTGACAAGTTGATGCTTACACCAGCTGGCAGAAATGCTTTTCGTGAATTTCTACGAACAGAATTCAGCGAGGAAAACATGCTTTTCTGGATGGCCTGTGAGGAACTAAAGCAAGAATCCAACAAAAGTGTCATTGAAGAAAAAGCAAGACTAATTTATGAAGATTATATTTCCATCCTTTCTCCAAAAGAGGTATACTACTTTTCTTAATATGTTCTTTGATGCTGCTTTGCACAGAAGTTCTAACTTGCTTATACCAATATATATATATTATATATATTATATATTATATATTATACCTATACCAATAGTCAGGGTGAACTTTTTCACACCCCCCAGTCCACTTCCATCAAGTAGGGATTTAGGGGAAGGAGGCACCCATCTCTGAGGTGAAATGGTCAAAACTACTTTCACTGGCTGGAAGAAAGCGCATCCTATGCTACCATGGCATGCTGACATGGAGTTTTCGGTTTGAGCCACAAACACACAGATGATCATGTTATCCTTGCTCAACCTAAATTTTATTTGTTGGACAAATCAGTTTCTTTTCTCATTGCACCAGGAAGGCGGTGTACGTGTCTCCAAAAGCACATTAACCACAAATAAATGTTATTTGCAAATCGCTCGAAGAGCAGCTCACAAAATATGCCATAGAACAACGACTTCCTGAAAATTTTCAAAACTACTCATCACTTTGCTGTTAGCAAATATGTCAAGTTTAAAAGACACCTCTGTTCAGTTTGAACTGCCAAGCAGGCTGGAATTTTAAACCTTTCAATATCCTTGCAAAACTGCAACTTAATTGTTTGTGGTGCAAGCTATACTTACGTACTTATAGAAAGGCTGTTTAAACCTAGTTAGGTTATTCTCATAATACTAATGTCTTTCTACAGACACTAGAGCCTTGTAGAAAAAAAAATTACATTACTTGTATGTTGTATGGAATTATTATATACCAATATATCAATTATATATATAAAAAATTATATATATATATATCAATTATATCAATTGATGTGAACCTGTGGTTCACATCAATACACCCTGCTTTTTAACAGGAATTTGATTAAGCAACAGCTTCCTGGGTTACATTTTCCGACTGCGTCATATTGCTTACTCCAAATTCAGCCTCTTTACAGCAGCACTAGCTCTCCAGGAAATGAACCTTCACAAAAAATTGCAAATCCTCTCTACTACAGAGCAGGAAGTCGGTCTGGAAATAACCTACTGGTCTCTAAGGCTTCAGTAATAATGGGATTGCAGGCAGTCTTGTTCAAATAAGGTACCTCGGTGAGGACATTTCTGTATCCTTACTCAAGATATTACTGCTTCCAAATTTTAACACGGTCAATTTTGCCTAAGTATATTTATCAGTTTTTACACTCTTGGAGGACACCAGCTGAAATGGCTAAAAAAGATCGCTTTTTCAGCCTATAAAAGAAACCTAAAACCTCACCTGTACTATTCACCACTATTATTTACATGACTTTCTATTTTAATACACAGGTCAGTCTGGACTCCAGAGTAAGAGAAGTGATTAACCGAAATATGCTGGAACCCTCACAACACACCTTTGATGACGCACAGCTTCAAATCTATACCTTAATGCACAGAGACTCTTACCCACGGTTTATGAACTCTGCTATTTATAAGGACTTGCTTCGGTCCTTATCTGAAAAACCCATTGAAGCATAGAATTTTTTTCTTAAATGTATTTATTTTAAAACAAATGGAACTCTGGGCTACACAAATCCACAGGGAATTTAGAATTAATCAGATATCTACCTGAAAATAACTCAGGCAAGTTTTACTACAGACTGAATTATTTAAATCCACACTGGCAGGCTCTGTCACAATCAGCTAAATACAGTTTCTGATCAAATTCAGCATTACTTTGCAAAACGGAATGAACACAATGAAGAGAAGATGTTGTTCAAAAAATGCAGTATTTTTTCAAACACAAAACACTATTCAGAATCAAAATTGTTACAATGTATGTTTGAGGTACAAATGCCAACTGAGCATGAAAACTAAAATTAATTTTTAAGTGGAGTGTTAGAACTGTCTTGAAAACCAAACCAGCTTCCCTATCTACACTGTGACCCAAGTAAAAATATTACTGTCAATATTGTGTTACTTACTCCAGGCAATGCCATCATACCTGGCATAGGTACACTCCACTTGTTTTGGTATAATTAACGTGTACACAGTGTGCTAATGGAAATCAGCACAGCAACCTCAAGTTTATTAAAGTTACTGGTTGAAATAATGCTGCCTATAAAAAAAAAAAATCTTTTGAAGGGTTATTATTTTACTACTAAAATCTGCTGAAAGCATTAAGTTCCTATTGTTGATGTTTATAAAGTTAAATTATTTACTTCAGAGGAAGATGTGTCTGGGCATTCAAATTCCAAAATAAAGCACAAGAATTGTCACATATTATTCTCTTCCCTCAGTAGGTATGTGTAAAATCCTTCACTATTCATACCCGTGAGGATGGCACCATCAGCCATCTTGGTTTTGTACATATTAAATTCTCCCATTACCTGACAGATCTTGTAAGGTTTCTGTTACACATGCACACACACAATTTAATTAATAAAAGCAGGAAGCTTGAACTGTTGTATTCTGACATAGCACTATTTCAGACTGACAGCACTAGCTCTATCCAGTAATAAACCATGTTCAATTACTGGTATCTCTAAAGCGTTACACTTGATTTCTTGTCATATCTCTAAACCATTAATCACAGGAAATATCAGGAAGAAAGTAAGTTGAATCCACATAATCTCTGTGTAGGTCTGTAATTCTAATATATTCTTTTAAATTACAAGATTCACTACAATTCCACTATATTAAACTCTGGATTTTATAGTGGATTTCCACTGAATTGCATTTTTTAAAATATTTATTTAAATGACACCAAATGGCACATATAGTTATGAAATTATATACATGAAACAGAAAAAAAAATACCCCTAGAAAGGGAGAACCAGACAGGCACAGTTCAATGATGTGTACTGCAGCCCTTCCAAAACCTACGCTTTGCCTAATTCCAGCACTATGGGAAGTACAAAATGGGGACTTTCTCTAAAAAAATAGAAATGAGAATAACATAATAGTACTTGAGAGATCAATTTAATTTTTTCTTCAATACACTTGGCAAGAGACATATTCTCCCCTTACTGCATTTGCACTATTAAACAAATTAATGATGAGATATTTCATCACACAGCATCACAGGAGAAGACCCAACACGTGGTAAGTTAACAGTATTATGGACCAGTTCAAGGCCAGGTTGGATGGGGAACTGAGCAACCTGGTCAGTGGGAGGTGTCCCTGCCCATGACAGGGGGGTTAAGTTCCATTACCACCCAAATCAGTCTATGATTCCATGAACAGTTTTCATCATCTCCTTCCAACAATATAACACTATTCAATATGTCAGCACAAAAAAGTAAACAAAAAAAAAAAAACCTAGAGAGAGCAAATCAAAGTGGTTTTGCCCTCTGCAGCACAACTAAATTAGGAGGAAATCCTTCCACATATAGCAACTTAAGACATAGTTCAGTTAGTGTTTGCCACTGCTTAACCTAGCAACACTGGTTATCTCAGATGAATTTTTATTAAATGCATCCAAAGCACTATCAGTACAATTTCAGTTTACATGAAGTATTAAATGATAAGTAGTAACTTCAACAAAACAAACTAGATCTCTTCATGAGGAGTTTGCAGTTGAACTCATGATGCTGTACTTGTCTAATCAGGGTGGGTAAGATTGCTCTAAAACTCTAAGTTGACAAATTAAGTTTAACTAGGTCAAATTCGGCTTGTTGGAAAGATGATATGCCTAGATAACAAAAACTTCAAAGCATGTCATCTCATGAAATGGAGGACTTAATTTCTTTTTAAGTTATTTCTCTTCCCTGCAAAGATATTTCATTAAAAGCTGAAAGACAGACCAAACACTCACACTTCATATCAAACAGTAAATTCTATTATTCTGTAAGAAAAAGAAAAAAGACACAATGAAATCAGAGGAGAGAGAAACCTATAATGGCTTGGGCAGTTCTACGGTTAACATTAAATTATTACAATAAAGTAATAATTTCTAAGCTTATTTTTTATGTGCCACAACTTCTAGCAATTAAAATTCTCCAATTTTCATTTTACTTCTGCATTACAATATATTGACATTTGCAATTTGTGTTTTACCTGAAGTATCTTAACAAACTTAATGCTGCGCTTCAGGCTTAGGCTTGTACCCAACCCCAGTGGTTGGGTATGCAGATTCCTAGATATCCTGAGAGAATCTCCTAAAAACCCAAACAACACACTCCCCTAAATATCTTGCTATTTTGAGGTTGGTTAATGCTTGATTGAATTGAAGTCATGGAGGTGGGAAGAGGAGGGGGAAGAGGAAAACAAAAAACCCTCCCACACAGAAGATAGGTTTTTAACTACATTTCATTCCTGTTACTTGCTCATGATGCACAAAGTTCTCAGGGCAAAAGTGAGGTGCACTGAAAAGGAAAAGTTACCATAGACAAGCTGTTACATGAATAGCAGGAAAAAATCATCAAATTGACATATTATTCATAATTAATCAGGAAAGAAATTATCACAAAATCAATTTATCCTAGCTTGAAATTGAGCACGGTTGGTTTGCCTTGGCATTTATCTAACTGCAGGATATCATTAAGCTCTAACAACTTTCCAGTCCACTGGCATTTTTCCTTCAATGTCTGCACATCATAAAGCAGTAACTCCCACAGAACACGCATACTGTTAAAGATTGCTCTTTTCACCAGCCTGCTAAGCACTATTAAAATTGCATGGGCTTCTTCAGCCAACATATTGTGCTTTACAGTGACCTTTAAATTCCAAAGTCATTAGCACAATATAAGTGAAGGAAAAAAACCCCATATATGTAGGTACTCGGAAGGGTTTTACTATATAGTTAGATTAAAATTTATCACAGCAGCATCATGTACTTATGCAGTTCCTTATTACAAAGCATATCTGAAAAAAAGAGGAAGTGGTAAGAAAGACTGTCACAATGTGAAGTAAATTTTTAACAACTTTGCTCTAAGCAGTACTTAGGAGCACATGTCTTCTGCCATAAAAGGTGTGAGTATTGTTACAATGACATTAATGAAAGATTTTCTATACTAATGTTATAACTAAATTAATCCCAAACCTTTTAAAATAGTAAACCAGTTCAAGATTAGTGATGATGTAGCAAAACAGAAGCTAATATATAGCTGCATGATATTGTACTTAGAGAGGTGAAACTCCTCAGGTTGTTTATACAAATGACTGTTATTTCAAGATCTATTTCCAAAGGCATGTCCCTGAAAGGTAATACAACCACATTTTGCAGAACAAAGACTTCACATTTATGAATTTCAGTTCTGCCCAGGCTAGTATGGGTTGTAAGTTTCAATTTAAAATTCACATATGTGACCACAAGTGGAATCCTGCACCCTGGATAAAAACTAGGTACTTCCTTTGCAATGCTTGAAAAGTGCAATTGGGCTGTAGTTCAAAAAGAACCAGTCAGTACAAAGTATGTTAAAACCCATACTTTCTCCTGAATGAGATAACACAATATGTGAGGAAATGTCTTCTAATATGGGATACAGAAGTTGTGTTTTCTGAGCAAAATCCTCTAGCCTTGCTTACAGAAGACAGCCAGTTGGAGAAAAGAGACACGGACCCAGTCCCATCTCTGCCATCCTTCTCCTATATATCCTTCAGACTTTGCACCCTCTCCGATAGAGAAGGGCAACTTCAGACAGCTGGGAAAACTGCTGAACAGAGGTGCATCCAAAGCTCACTTTTAGAGAGTTTTAATTTTGGATTTAGGTAACCAAAATAAAGCATAAATAGAATAGATGTATTGTTGGATCTAGTTCTTGGAATTCATCTTTTGCTGGGCGAAAGAAACTGTTCTTTTTACCTTGGGGACAGAAGAGGGAAGGGTACAGGCTACTGCTCAGCCATAAACTAACATTAGGTGAAACCACATTTTATTTCAACTCCTTCTTGGACACACCTACCTCACAGACAGCGCTACCACAGTTGTAGTTGCTTTAATAAAGTCCAGATATAACTTGGTGAGTACAAAAAGACAATTATTACATCTTCTCAAAAGATATTTTTCGCACGTGTCACAATCAGGCACAAAGATTAAAGGACACGTAGCGTGAGGAAAGTTAGGCAAACCCACCTGTGCCTGCCCTGTGTATATGTGTTGTGAACAGCTGTGAAAATTCAGGTCTACTTGGCACCCAATTTGCAATAATTTTTAACACAATTTTTTGGACTTGTTCCTTTAGAAAGGTCCCCAAATAAAGCATTCAATAATTGATAGTAAATGTTTGTAGTCTTAAACAACTTTTAAAAAAAATCAGTTGTGCATCTCAGGAAGTAAGTCTGCCAAAGGACCTACACACAGGCTAAAAATAGACTCATGCTCTTGGTAGAAAAAAATAGTGTTTTCTGAAGGTCATGAATATAAGTTGAGTTAAAATGTTTATACATAAAAAGCTATGCAAGAAATTTTAAATGCTGAGCAATTTTCTGCCTGGAAAAAGGTTTATAACAAAACTTCTTCTATTTCAATCATTTTCCCCTCACCAGAAGAGCCATGTTTTCTTCCTTGCACAGGTTGACTATAAAAGCTTGCTCTATAAGTATTTACCAAACAGTTCTTGTCTGACAAAGCTCAAGTGTCATCATACTATTTCCAACTCATTTGTTAACAATTGCCACCGTCACACAAAAAATGTTCAACATACAGAATCTTGTTTTTCCTTACAGTCAAGGAATTTATTCTCCAGGAACCGCACATACTCTTCCCAACCCCCCATGAATATTTTATACGTTGTCAGAATAGACGTTCTCAAGCCCCAGGCTTCAATAAATTAAGTAATATTAAATTAGGTATAATGAAAGAATTTACTTTAAGTCACGTTGTCATGTTTTTCCTTGAAAACATATTTGAAAATACTTCTAAACATGTGCACTGTGGAAAACCAAACTCTAAAAAAAGCAGTATTTATACCATTCCACATATGGAAAAGACCATAACTTTAATAATTTATTTCCACCAGCATGTCTATGGTTGACAGCAGATACCCTACAATTCAAAATTCAGTCCATGAACAAAATCAATGTCATTTATATGAAGGGAATATAGTATTACTTCCCCAGTCAGTTTACAACGTAATGAATTAGTTAGCTGGCATTATTAGGGCAGCATACAACACAATGCCTCTGCTCATTTACAAAGACTAAACCCAATTTGGTTGTCAAGCACATTAAGCAAGACTGAATACTCAAATCAGATTTAAGTTACTATTTTAAGGCATTCCTGGAAATAATACCTACTGATAGAATGTAAAATATGTGCTTTGGGCAATAAAATATATTGCATCGATCGAAGCTGGCTATATAAACAAGCTTAACCAACCACTGCAAAAGAGGTCATCATATCCACTAATAAATTTTCAAACCTTATGACCCAAATTTAGTCCTAGTCCAGAAACAGTACACACAAGCTAGAGAGTTAACTAAACTGTGATTTAGTTAACAACTGAGTTTATGTAATGAGGAACTTATATACCTTTTCTTTTGCAAAGCTAGTGAACACAGCAGCAAGAAAGAAATTCCATTCTTACAACTGAACAAATG